CGTGTTTCGCATCCTCCGTCCTCGGTGTTGTGAGATGCACAGAAGTTTGGCGTGTCAGTGACACAGTGAGTCAGTGACACAGTGAGTGACACAGTGAGTCAGTGACACGGTGAGTCAGTGACACAGTGAGTCAGTGTCACAGTGAGTGACACGGTGAGTCAGTGACACAGTGAGTCAGTGACACAGTGAGTCAGTGACACAGTGAGTCAGTGACACAGTGAGTGACACAGTGAGTCAGTGACACGGTGAGTCAGTGACACAGTGAGTGACACAGTGAGTGACACAGTGAGTGACACAGTGAGTCAGTGTCACAGTGAGGTAGTGACACAGTCAGTGTCACAGTGAGTCAGTGACACGGTGAGTGACACAGTGAGTCAGTGACACAGTGAGTCAGTGACATAGTGAGTCAGTGACACAGTGAGTGACACAGTGAGTCAGTGACACGGTGAGTCAGTGACACAGTGAGTGACACAGTGAGTGACACAGTGAGTCAGTGTCACAGTGAGGTAGTGACACAGTCAGTGTCACAGTGAGTCAGTGACACGGTGAGTGTCACAGTGAGTCAGTGACACAGTGAGTCAGTGACATAGTGAGTCAGTGACACAGTGAGTGACACAGTGAGTCAGTGACACGGTGAGTTAGTGACACAGTGAGTGACACAGTGAGTGACACAGTGAGTGACACAGTGAGTCAGTGTCACAGTGAGGTAGTGACACAGTCAGTGTCACAGTGAGTCAGTGACACGGTGAGTGACACAGTGAGTCAGTGACACAGTGAGTCAGTGACATAGTGAGTCAGTGACACAGTGAGTGACACAGTGAGTCAGTGACACAGCGAGTCAGTGACAGTGAGTGACACAGTGAGTCAGTGACACAGTGGGTCAGTGACACATTCAGTGTCACAGTGAGTCAGTGTCACAGTGAGTCAGTGTCACAGTGAGTGACACAGTGAGTGTCACAGTGAGTGAGTCAGTGACACAGTGAGTCAGTGACACAGTGAGTCAGTGACACAGTGAGTGACACAGTGAGTCAGTGACACGGTGAGTCAGTGACACAGTGAGTGACACAGTGAGTGACACAGTGAGTGACACAGTGAGTCAGTGTCACAGTGAGGTAGTGACACAGTCAGTGTCACAGTGAGTCAGTGACACGGTGAGTGACACAGTGAGTCAGTGACACAGTGAGTCAGTGACATAGTGAGTCAGTGACACAGTGAGTGACACAGTGAGTCAGTGACACGGTGAGTTAGTGACACAGTGAGTGACACAGTGAGTGACACAGTGAGTGACACAGTGAGTCAGTGTCACAGTGAGGTAGTGACACAGTCAGTGTCACAGTGAGTCAGTGACACGGTGAGTGACACAGTGAGTCAGTGACACAGTGAGTCAGTGACATAGTGAGTCAGTGACACAGTGAGTGACACAGTGAGTCAGTGACACAGCGAGTCAGTGACAGTGAGTGACACAGTGAGTCAGTGACACAGTGGGTCAGTGACACATTCAGTGTCACAGTGAGTCAGTGTCACAGTGAGTCAGTGTCACAGTGAGTGACACAGTGAGTGTCACAGTGAGTGAGTCAGTGACACAGTGAGTCAGTGACACAGTGAGTGACACAGTGAGTGAGTCAGTGACACAGTGAGTCAGTGACATAGTGAGGCAGTGACACAGTGAGTGACACAGTGAGTGAGTCAGTGACACAGTAAGTGACACAGTGAGTGAGTCAGTGACACAGTGAGTCAGTGAGTCAGTGAGTCAGTGACACAGTCAGTGTCACAGTGAGTCAGTGTCACAGTGAGTCAGTGTCACAGTGAGTGACACACTGAGTCAGTGACACAGTGAGTCAGTGACACAGTCAGTGTCACAGTGAGTCAGTGACACGGTGAGTCAGTGACACAGTCAGTGTCACAGTGAGTCAGTGACACGGTGAGTCAGTGACACAGTCAGTGTCACAGTGAGTCAGTGACACAGTGAGTCAGTGTCACAGTAAATGACACAGTGAGTCAGTGACACAGTGAGTCAGTGTCACAGTGAGTGACACAGTGAGTGACACAGTGAGTGAGTCAGTGACACAGTGAGTCAGTGACACAGTGAGTCAGTGACACAGTGAGTGACACAGTGAGTGAGTCAGTGACACAGTGAGTGACACAGTGAGTGAGTCAGTGACACAGTGAGTCAGTGAGTCAGTGACACAGTCAGTGTCACAGTGAGTCAGTGTCACAGTGAGTGACACACTGAGTCAGTGACACAGTGAGTCAGTGACACAGTGAGTCAGTGACACAGTCAGTGTCACAGTGAGTCAGTGACACGGTGAGTCAGTGACACAGTCAGTGTCACAGTGAGTCAGTGACACGGTGAGTCAGTGACACAGTCAGTGTCACAGTGAGTCAGTGACACAGTGAGTCAGTGTCACAGTAAATGACACAGTGAGTCAGTGACACAGTGAGTCAGTGTCACAGTGAGTCAGTGTCACAGTGAGTGACACAGTGAGTCAGTGTCACAGTGAGTCAGTGACACAGTGAGGATGAGTCAGTGACACAGTGAGTCAGTGACACAGTGAGGATGAGTCAGTGACACAGTGAGTCAGTGACACAGTGAGGATGAGTCAGTGACACAGTGAGTCAGTGACACAGTGAGGATGAGTCAGTGACACAGTGAGTCAGTGTCACAGTGAGGATGTGACACAGTGAGGATGTGTCAGTGACACAGTGAGTCAGTGTCACAGTGAGTATGAGTCAGTGACACAGTGAGTCAGTGTCACAGTGAGGATGAGTCAGTGTCACAGTGAGTCAGTGACACAGTGAGTCAGTGTCACAGTGAGGATGAGTCAGTGACACAGTGAGTCAGTGTCACAGTCAGTGACACAGTGAGTCAGTGTCACAGTGAGTCAGTGTCACAGTGAGTGACACAGTGAGTCAGTGTCACAGTGAGTGACACAGTGAGTCAGTGTCACAGTGAGTGACACAGTGAGTCAGTGACACAGTGAGTCAGTGTCACAGTGAGTGACACAGTGAGTGACACAGTGAGTCAGTGTCACAGTGAGTCAGTGACACAGTGAGTCAGTGTCACAGTGAGTCAGTGACACAGTGAGTCAGTGTCACAGTGAGTGACACAGTGAGTCAGTGACACAGTGAGTCAGTGACACAGTGAGTCAGTGTCACAGTGAGTCAGTGACACAGTGAGTCAGTGACACAGTGAGGATGAGTCAGTGACACAGTGAGTCAGTGTCACAGTGAGTCAGTGACACAGTGAGGATGTGACACAGTGAGGATGAGTCAGTGTCACAGTGAGGATGAGTCAGTGACACAGTGAGTCAGTGACACAGTGAGGATGTGACACAATGAGGATGAGTCGGTGTCACAGTGAGTCAGTGACACAGTGAGTCAGTGTCACAGTGTGTCAGTGTCACAGTGTGTCAGTGACACAGTGAGTCAGTGTTACAGTGAGTCAGTGACACAGTGAGTCAGTGTCACAGTGAGTGAGTGTCACAGTGAGGAGGAGTCAGTGACACAGTGAGTCAGTGTTACAGTGAGTCAGTGACACAGTGAGTCAGTGACACAGTGAGTGAGTGTCACAGTGAGGATGAGTCAGTGACACAGTGAGTCAGTGTTACAGTGAGTCAGTGACACAGTGAGTCAGTGTCACAGTGAGTGAGTGTCACAGTGAGGATGAGTCAGTGACACAGTGAGTCAGTGTCACAGTGAGTCAGTGTCACAGTGAGTCAGTAACACAGTGAGTCAGTGTCACAGTGAGTCAGTGTCACAGTGAGGATGAGTCAGTGACACAGTGAGTCAGTGACACAGTGAGTCAGTGTCACAGTGAGTCAGTGACACAGTGAGTCAGTGACACAGTGAGTCAGTGTCACAGTGAGGATGAGTCAGTGTCACAGTGAGTCAGTGACACAGTGAGTCAGTGTCACAGTGAGTCAGTGACACAGTGAGGATGAGTCAGTGACACAGTGAGTCAGTTACACAGTGAGTCAGTGACACAGTGAGTCAGTGTCACAGTGAGGATGAGTCAGTGTCACAGTGAGGATGAGTCAGTGTCACAGTGAGTCAGTGACACAGTGAGTCAGTGTCACAGTGAGGATGAGTCAGTGTCACAGTGAGTCAGTGTCACAGTGAGTCAGTGTCACAGTGAGGATGAGTCAGTGACACAGTGAGTCAGTGTCACAGTCAGTGACACAGTGAGTCAGTGTCACAGTGAGTCAGTGTCACAGTGAGGATGAGTCAGTGTAACAGTGAGTCAGTGTCACAGTGAGGATGAGTCAGTGACACAGTGAGTCAGTGTCACAGTGAGTCAGTGTCACAGTGAGGATGAGTCAGTGACACAGTGAGTCAGTGTCACAGTGAGGATGAGTCAGTGTCACAGTGAGTCAGTGACACAGTGAGTCAGTGTCACAGTGAGGATGAGTCAGTGTAACAGTGAGTCAGTGTCACAGTGAGGATGAGTCAGTGTCACAGTGAGTGAGTGACACAGTGAGGATGAGTCAGTGACACAGTGAGTCAGTGTCACAGTGAGGATGAGTCAGTGACACAGTGAGTCACTGTCACAGTGAGGATGAGTCAGTGTAACAGTGAGTCAGTGTCACAGTGAGGATGAGTCAGTGACACAGTGAGTCAGTGTCACAGTGAGTCAGTGTCACAGTGAGGATGAGTCAGTGACACAGTGAGTCAGTGTCACAGTGAGGATGAGTCAGTGTCACAGTGAGTCAGTGACACAGTGAGTCAGTGTCACAGTGAGGATGAGTCAGTGACACTGTGAGTCAGTGTCACAGTGAGGATGAGTCAGTGTCACAGTGAGTCAGTCTCACAGTCAATGTCAGAGTGAGTATGAGTCAGTGTCACAGTGGGTCAGTGTCACAGTGAGTGAGTGTCACAGTGAGTGAGTGTCACAGTGAGTCAGTGTCACAGTGACACAGTGAGTCAGTGACACAGTGAGTCAGTGTCACAGTGAGTGAGTGTCACAGTGAGGATTAGTCAGTGAGGTGTCGCCACTTGCTCACCTCTCCCGGCGAGCACCATCACCACCATCATCACCATCATCACCAACATCATCATCACCATCAACACCAACACCATCAACACCAACATCACCAACACCAACAGGTTGTCGTTGGCTATTCCGCCTCGCTGCTGAACGAAACTCGCCGCTCTCTCACAAAGCCGCCGCCGCCGTCTCGGCGTCAACGCTCCGAGTCGCTCGCTCGAGTCGCGCCGCGTTCCAGGCGACTCGGAGCGACGCTCGCGACCGCCATCGTCCGCATCGCATCGCCGCAGTTGCCCGCAACTTGGCTGACTTGTTGTTGTTGTTGTCGTTGTTGTTGTTGTCGTTGTTGGTGTCCCACCGTAGCGGACGTTGCGCAGCAGCAGCGGCGGCGTCTCTGGGCGCAGTCGAGTGGCGGCGGTGGGTTTCGCGTTTTTTGTGCTACGCAGCGTCTCGCGTGTGAGTGGCTGTGTGTGTGTGTCACTGTCACTGTGTGTGTGTGTGTCACTGTCACTGTGTGTGTGTGTCACTGTCACTGTGTGTGTGTGTCACTGTCACTGTGTGTGTGTGTGTCACTGTCACTGTGTGTGTGTGTGTCACTGTCACTGTGTGTGTGTCACTGTCACTGTGTGTGTGTGTCACTGTCACTGTGTGTGTGTCAGCGTGTGTGTCACTGTGTGTGTGTGTGTGTCACTGTGTGTGTGTCAGCGTGTGTGTCACTGTGTGTGTGTGTGTCAGTATGTGTGTGAGTGTGTCACCGTGTGTGTGAGTGACTGTCACTGTGTGTGTGTCACTGTCACTGTGTGTGTGTCACTGTGTGTGTGTCGCTGTGTGTGAGTGTGTCACCGTGTGTGTGTCAGCGTGTGTGTGTCAGCGTGTGTGTGTGACTGTCACTGTGTGTGTCACTGTCACTGTGTGTGTGGCAGCGTGTGTGTGTGTCACTATGTGTGTGTGTGTCAGCGTGTGTGTGTGTGTCACTGTCACTGTGTGTCACTGTCACTGTGTGTGTGTGTCACTGTGTGTGTGTGTGTGTCAGCGTGCGTGTGTGTGTCACTGTCACTGTGTGTGTGTGTGTCACTGTGTGTGTGTGTGTCACTGTGTGTGTGTGTCACTGCGTGTGTGTGTGTCACTGTGTGTGTGTGTCACTGTGTGTGTGTCACTGCGTGTGTGTGTGTCACTGTGTGTGTGTCACTGTGTGTGTGTGTCACTGTGTGTGTCAGTGAATGTCACTGTGTGTGTGTGCGTGTGTCACTGCGTGTGTGTGTCACTGTGTGTGTGTCACTGTGTGTGTGTCACTGTCACTGTGTGTGTGTGTCACTGTGTGTGTCTGTCAGTGTGTGTGTGTCACTGTGCGTGTCAGCGTGTGTGTGTCACTGTGTGTGTCACTGTGTGTGTCAGCGTGAGTGTGTCACTGTGTGTCAGCGTGTGTGTTGGTCAACGCCGTCCGGCAGCATCGCTCATCCTCACCAAACCACTACACAGAATCATAACCACCACCACCCACCACCCCCCTCCACCACCACCACCCCCTCCACCACCACCACCCCCTCCACCACCACCAGCACCACCCCCATTACCCCCACCACCTACACTCCCCACCACCACCCCCCCCACCACCACCACCCCCATTACCCCCACCACCTACACTCCCCACCACCACCACCCCCCACCACCACCACCCTCCACCACCACCCACCACTACCCTCCACCACCACCCCCTCCACCACCTACCACCACCACTCCCCACCACCACCCACCACAATCACTCCCCACCACCACCCACCACCACCACCACTCCCAACCACCACCACCACTCCCCTCCACCACCACCCCCCTCCACCACCACCCCCCACCACCACCCCCCCACCACCACCACCCTCCACCACCTACACTCCCCTCCACCACCACCACCCCCTCCACCACCACCCACCACCCCCCATCACCCACCACCACCCCCTCCACCACCACCACCCCCTACCACCACTACCCTCCACCACCACCACCCATCCCCTCCACCACCACCCACCCCCACCACCACCACCACCTACCACCACCACCCCCCACCACCACCACCACCACCTACCACCACCACCCCCCACCACCACCACCACCCACCACCACCACCACCCACCACCACCCACCACCACCTACCACCACCACCACCTACCACCACCACCCCCCACCACCACCACCCACCACCCACCACCCACCACCACCCACCACCACCACCACCCACCACCACCACCCACCACCACCACCACCTACCACCACCACTACCCTCCACCACCACCACCCACCCCCTCCACCACCACCCACCCCCACCACCACCACCACCTACCACCACCACCCCCCACCACCACCACCACCACCTACCACCACCACCCCCCACCACCACCACCACCCACCACCACCCACCACCACCTACCACCACCACCACCTACCACCACCACCCCCCACCACCACCCACCACCCACCACCCACCACCACCCACCACCACCCACCACCACCACCACCTACCACCACCACCTACCACCACCACGGCGACTCTTGGGTGTGCGAGCGCCGCGTGTGGCACAGACGCAGCAGCGCACGCCACGAATCACGCGTCTCTCTCTCTCTCTTCTCTCTCTCTCTTCTCTGTCTCTTCTCTCTCATCCCGAGAAGCGAGCGGCTCGCACGGCGACCAAGATCCACGCGCGACATTCAGCCCAACTGGATCACGCCCGGAGACAATCAGGGAAGACGGAATCCCCGATCTCCGCTGCCCCCCACCCACCCACCCCAATCTCCCCTCCGACGCCAGCTCCACTGCACCATGAGCAGCAGCAGCAGGGGGAGGATGACGCCCGTGGTCACGGTGGAGAAGAGCCTCGGGGGGTGGAGGGATGCGAGGAGTGACCGCTGAACGCCAGGCGAACATCATCATCCTCCTCCTCCTCTTCTCTTTATTACGATCAGAGGACACGAGAAGATGCTCGGAGTAGTCGGCACTTTGCTTCGTTCATCGAACTCGAGTCGCCGGAATTCGTAGCGCGACAACACGACCGCTCCCTCCAGACACGTAAACAACACAACAACACAACAGCAACACAACAACAATACTCGAGTGGACCGGTTCGATTCCCGACTCGGGCGCTTGTCCGTGCTGAGTCTTGTGCGTTCCTCCCCCTGTTCTGGTATTGGGGGGTTCCTGCCCGCGTTCTCCCGGCCCCACCTCCACCCTACCCCCCCCCCCCCTCCCGCAGTTGCATATGACCGCTCAAAGTTGATCTCTGTTGAACATTGTCAACACATTTAAAGAAAATCTGGCCGCAAATTACTCGCGGAGAAGTCATCTCCCACCCCGACTACTGGCAGAGCCAATGCCCGTCGCTGAGCCAGATGGTGCCGAGTCATCTTGTGCCGCACAGAGACAGCTGCCAATAGGGGAGGCGACGGCCCCTTGGAGAGAGAGCGTAACGTGTAATGCAAGTTCTTTAATCAGTCTCAACATGCTCGGTAAAAACAAAAATATCCTACATAATGCACGGGCATAATATGACTTTGAGACCCCCCCCCCCCACCTCCTACGCATTCCACAAGTAGTGACTAATCCCATATCTGCATTTTCTATAAATATGCTAAATTCCTATGTTGATATGCAAATTCCTTTGTCAAGGCGCCCTTCCTCCCCTAACCCAGCTTAAATATACGCTGCCAAGCTTGGTGGTGTTCATTCAGACGCTGTCTTTCCGACAGCCCTGTTCTTCACCTGAGGTCGGCTGCTTGCGTTGTGGCCGAAACGTCGTGAGAATTGTATTTTATTATGTTTTATTTTTATTATTGTATTACTTCCCTTCTACGTGACTTTACCGAAAGAACCAAGAAGCTAGTGGAGATGTGTTTTTTTTACCCCTCCCCCCCTTTCCCATAGCCGCAAAGCAACGGCGAGCGACAGAGCGTGACGGTGATGCTGCAAGTAAAGTTATGTTGAGCTCGTGCTGTTATTGCGTGAGGCTGTGCGAGGTTGCAAACTCAGGGAAGGGAAGCTCCCGGGATAAACAATACGAGCCACGGCAATGATGTGCATGGTGCGTTCTGCTGTGGCTCTCACTCCCTATCTATACGTGCGGTATGAATAAAAACTGCGTCGAAGGGAAATAATAAAATATTTAAAAATTTGACATAATAAAACTCTCACGGCGTTTCGGCCACAACGCAAGCAGCCGTCCTCAGGTGAAGAACAGGTCTGTCGGAAAGACAGCGTCCTTCACCTGGCCGAAACGTTGTGAGAATTTTATTACGTGAAATGTTTGTATTATTTTATTATTTCCCTTCTACGTGACTTTACCGAAAGAACATGAATCCCTGCAGTCACGAAAGCTTTAAATCTATTCCTCGCCTGGTATACATGAGAGCATGGGTTCGATCCCAATCCCGACCCTGATGCCTGTTGTATATTTGGAGTTTGCACGTTTTCTCTCTCTCACCGTGGTGGCGTGGATTTTTCTCCGGGTCTTTCGTTTTTGCCCTGCACATTTAGAATCAACGCGCGTTTAGAGTATTTGGTTGCTATACATTTCCACACAATAAGCCACTTCGTTTTGGCTATCATTTGTGGCCAGGTTGCTTCTGAAAAAGACCTACATAGCTTAGTGGGCCTTACCTGGTGAAATACAAAAATAGTCTTCTTGGTTCTTTCGCTAAAGTCACGTAGAAGGGAAGTAATAAAATAATAAAAATAAAACATAATATATTATTATATTAGCATATTATTTATTTAGTATTATATTTTTTCCTTATTTTATTACTTCCCTTCTACGTGACTTTACCGAAAGAACCAAGAAGATGAATCCCTGCAGTCACGAAAGCTTTAAATCGAAATACAAAAATGGTTTATAGTGTTTTAGTTGAATTGCCACAGGTGTTAAATATTGTACCTTAAATACATTTTGACTTGACGACTCGGTTTCAGAAGGTGAGCTGAGCCCTCAGTAGAAGGTGGGGGTTGGTGATGGGGGTGGGGGGTCAGCCCTCAACCCCCCAACCCTTCACAATGCTATGGGGCCGCCGCTCCATCCCCTTGGGAGTTGGCACCACGTGCTCTGGATGAGAGGAGTCGAGGTCGATGCCCTTCTTCTTCTCTCGCATGGCTGCTGATGAAGATGCAGAGCGACAACGACAATTTCAGGTGGTCACGCCGGACGGCCGCGTCAGGAGCAGTACCATCGCCTCGATTGTGTCTCCGTATTTGTGGATCGGAGCATTGCGTCGTCACACGTTGTGCCGTCCGTTCTGGATGACCACAGACGCACAGTACTCGAGAGTTTTACGAATTTTGTTTTATTTGTGCATCAGGTATCTCGATGTGTTGCAGTGGGTGTGGTTTAGGGTGGACCATGAGCTTCGTGGAAGATCAAACTCGGGGATTTTCTGCGTTGGCTCTTCTTTGCAAAGTGTTTGTTTGTCAGTTCTTTTGAACTCCATTCAGTTCTCCAAGCTTCATCTTGTCCTTACCCCGCAGCTCCGATTAGCACGGTTGGCTACGGATGGTGCGAGAGAAGTTCAACATACAGACATCGGGGTTGAATTCACACTGTTTAAGGTTTAGCGAATGGGTCCAAAAGGGCTTGGCGTGACTTCCAGCGATGACGCAGGATGTTACTGAGGTCCTCGGTAAAGTCACGAAAGCAATCAATGGTAAAAAGTTCTACTTTTGATGCCCTGTCATTTTGGTTTTGGAGGGGGAACGCACACCATTGTGTGTTCTATGTATACACACAAAAGACATGCTTTACATGATACATTAAAACAAGAAGACATGACAAGCACGGACGAGAGAGGATCTTTAGAGAAACCGGTGGAGTTGGTGACGCCCTCCTTCTGGTCGGTTGACCTTCGGTGTCGGCAAGATGGCGACACAGTGGGATGGTGTCTCGTGAATGGTTGTTGTCAGGTGAACGGTGAAAGGTGAGTGGTGAGGGCAGAGACGTTCCGAGGGTGCCACGGCAAATCGTGGCGACCGCCCCGCACTTGGGGGGGGGGGGGGGGGTTGGCGTAGCACGCTTCACCGTCACGGTGTCAGATGGAATATTATCCGGTTCAGTTTGGAGGGGTGGGGAGGGCACACGGAGGGGTTTGCCCCGGGCCCCGAATCCCCCCCCCCCCCCCACTATGGATGGCCCCGGGTGAGGGTCACGTGACTTTAACATCACCCAGTCTGTAAGACGGGCAGCAGCATTCTCGTCTACTCGTAAGCAACTCCATTTGTCTGCAAGTTCATCCGTCGGTCGACCAGAGGAATCCAGGGACCGACGTACCCCCTTTGATCTCGGTCAAAAACGGTCTCCTTCCTCTGGCGTATGGCAAGTCTATGCCAATCACACGTCCAAGTTGAAGTCTGTGAACCCCGCGATAGCTCCGGGAGTAGCCTCGACTGATACTGCTCTGTCCCGCCGGAAAGAGCAGGCGGTAGGATGCAGTTGGTCGCGATATGCTTCCGTTGTCTGGTTCGCGTGGCCGCAGTCACACTTTGGGTTGTCTCTGATTCTCCACTTTTGGGGAAAGTGTGGCGTCGCGCCCAGTTGCTATTCTGAAGATAGTTCATGGTGCGCCGTAGTTTTCTTGGCAGATCAAAGCCGTGCGGACCAGTGGTGGGGTCGTCGATGATGCTGTCGTTTGGAACCTCCACAATGAGCAGTGGCGCCGCCTGCAACAACTGGCAGTTCACCAACATTGGCCCACGGGCACGCCTGACTCCGCTGCGCGATGAGGCACCGTCTGTCGAAACCGGCCCGGATGTCACTCTGCACCGATGCCACGCTGCTGAAATGATGCACTCCTCAGAGGGCCGTGGTCGCCCGACGGGTTGTGTAAACAAACAAACAAATCTACATTTTGTTTTTATGTGGAGAGACAGATATATGAAGGAGACGCATCGTCTCCTTATCAAGTTTGTGATTTCGCTTGCCACGGATGACACTTTGTTCGTCAGAGGAGAGCGGTGAGCGTCTCTCGTGATGATGGTGAGTAGTGGGAGTGATGCCACGTCAGTGGGTTCACAACACTGTAGATTGTGTAGTGTAATTGCGCCGGCTGGTGGACAACGGTGGCAACTGTGGTGGACACACAGTGCACACGCCGGTGAGCGTGAGCACGGCGTGTTGGCAGAGTGGAGGAACTAGGGCAAGGGTCACGGAGGCCCCCATCTGGAGGCCCCTGGAACCTGCTGGCGGGTTCGAGAAGGGAGGCGCGGTCAGGGCGGAGCCAGGCTGGGAGCATAAAAGGAGCCGAGAGCGGAGAGCTCAGGGCTGCCGGTTCTGGGAATGGACTCGTGTCGTCATTGTTGTCATCTCGTCACCGTCGTCTTTAAACGTCTCCGCTAGATATCGCGCTACGAAGGATAGTAGTTGGCTATCTAAGTCAGCGCCGTCAGTGTTAGACGGCTAGCGTTGTGTACAGGCTAGGCTGAGCTACTGTGAAGAGTGTGCGTACGAGACCGTGGAAGTTGTTAATAAAGAAGTTGCCTCCTACAAACTTTGTCTCCGAATCATTGACACTACAATTGTACAAGACCGTGATGCTCTTTCATCACAAC